GCTGAAAGCCTTAAATTACAAGGTCTACTTTGTCTGGTTTTCAGCTTGAATAGTATTTGGTTCTACGGCCTGCATTAATATTTCAGACAAGCCCAAAAGACCTTAATACTAGTTCATGATGCATCAATAATTGCCTAGAATACATTTTGAATGGTACCATTCGGGTAAAGCCTTTGCTGAACAGAATATAAAACAAGACCATCACTTGATAAAACTTGATAAGATTGGCCAATAGGCTCAGGAATAGCAGATGGACTTTTTCTCCTGGATTGTTGGAGGCTGAGGAATGACCTTACAATGGTTTATAATATCATGAGGGGCATGGATACAGTGAATAGCCAAGGTCTTTTTCCCAGGGTGGGGGAGTCCAAAGCTAGCGAGCATAGGTTTAAGGTGAGAGGGGAAAGATTTAAAAAGGACCTGAGAGCTAGCGTTTTCTTACACAGAGTATGGTGCGTGTGTGGAATGAGCTGCCAGAGGAAGTGGTGGAGGCTGGTACAATTACAACATTTAAAAGGCATCTGGATGGGTACATGAATGAGAAGGGGTTAGAGGGATATTGGCCAAATGCTGGCAAATGGGACTGGGTCAGATTGGGATATTTGGTCAGTGCGGGCATGTTGCACCGAAGGATCTGTTTCCATGCTGACACTATGATTCTAAAGTGCAGACACTGGCAATCTAAAACAGAAACAGAAAGTGCCAGAGAAAGCAGGTCTGGCAGTTTCTATGGAGAGGGAAACAGAGTTAATGTTTCGAATCCAGTGACCTTCTTCAGAACTGAAAGCAGCTGGGGATAGATATTTTGGTGGTTGGATAGAAATGATTTGAATCGATGGTGCCGAGACAGAGAGGGGAGAAAAGGAGAAAAATAAAATGTTTTCAATCCAGGTTTAATTAGCCATTTATTTCACGGTATGTTTTTCAAGTCAGCAATTACATTCAGAAAGTTCATCTGTTTGAACACAGTGCTGTTGGACTCTGCCTCAGAAGTATTATTCGGTGAGTGAGTTCATAATCTGACATTTTTTACATGAGCCACTTTCTCACCAGCTCAAATGGCTGATAAGAACAGATCCCTTTTTTGGTCAAACCCAAGGACAATAGTCATTCAACTGAATTGAAAATTAAGTCTAATTTAAAAAGTTGTTGACAAGAAAACACAATAGCCAGTGATGAATAATGAAGCTTTTTTTAATCCTTTATTTTTTTCCTAGGATATTAGCACTCCCACCAGGGACAGCATTTGTCACCCATCTGTAATTGTCCTTGAGTTGGGTAGCTTCCAAGGCCATTGCAGAAGCCAGCTCAGAGTCAGCCATATTATTCAGGAATCTAGCATCACATGTAGGGGACTTGATGGTCTAGTGGTATTTTGCTGGTCTGTTAATCCAGATAATATTCTGGGGCACAGGTTCATATCCCAGCATGGCAGACAGTGGAATTTGAATTCAATAAAAATCTGGATTTAAGGATGACCATGCAACTATTGTTGGAAAAACCCATCTGGTTCACTAATGCCCTTTAGGGAAGGAAACTGCCATCCTTACCTGGTCTGGCCTACATGTGACTCCAGACCCACAGCAATGTGGTTGAATCTTAATTTCTTCTGGGATGGGCAATAAATGCTGGCCTAGCAACTGATGCCCTTGTCCTGTGAATGTGGTTTAAAAAAATGTAGGCCAGACCAGGTAAGATTGGCAGGTTTCCTTTCCTAGCGAACCTGACAGGGTCTTACCAACAGTCAGTGTTGGTTATGATTACCATTAACTTTTTTAATTAATTGACTTTAACGGTGAGATTTGAGCCCATGTCCTTCAGAGCATAAGACCATAAGTAATCCCTCGAGCCTGCTCCACCATTTAATAGGATCATTGCTAATCAGACATTTCTCACGTCCACTTTCCTGCCCTTTCCCCTTAACCCTTGATTCCCTGACTGATTAAGAATCTATCTTTCTAGTCTTAAATATACACAAGGATTCTGTTCCCACAGCTCCCTCGCAGGGAGTTCTAAAGTCTCTCAAACCCTCAGAGAAGAGATTCCTCCTCATCTCGGTCTTAAATTGACACCCCTTTATTATGAGACTATGCCCTTTGGTCCTAGACTCTCCCATGAGGAGAAACATTCTCTCAGCATTTACCCTATCAAGTCCCTTAAGAATTTGATACGTTTAAATGAAATCACTTCTTATTTTTCTAAACGCCAGTGAGTACAGTCCCAACCTGTTTAGCCTTTGCTCATCAGACAATCCCTTCATACCAAGGGATCATCCTAGTGAACCTTTTCTGACTGTCTCCAATGAAATGATATCTTTTCTTAAATAAGGGGACCAAAACTGCCCACATTACTCCAGATGTGTTCTCACCAGCACCTTGTCCAATTGCATTAAGACTTCCCTGCTATTATACTCCAACTCCCTTGAAATAAGGGCCAACATTCGATGAACCTTCCTGATCCCCTGCTGTACCTGTGTGCTAGCTTTCCGTGTTTTGTATCCAGAAGGCCCAAGGCCCTTTGTGTCGCAGCGTTCTGCAGTTTTTCTCCATTTAAATAACAGACTGGTCATTGGCTTATAATTCTGAATTATGAACACAATCACATTACTATGAGGCCACTGTCTCCTCAGAGATAGTCCTAAGCCAATTCCTTGATGTTCTGGAGATGCAACATAGATGCATCCCTGTCACCCAGAATTCATGTTTGATTACTGACAGATGCTGACTTTGTACCAGACAGAGATAGAGGGGGCCCGATACTTCCTTAAGAAGCTCGTGTGTGGGTGCATTGTCTGACACATCCGTCAAAACTCCAGCTCAGTCTTACAGTCCCTTCCCAACTCCATTGTGAACTCTCCCTCTGCTTTTTATCTAATTTCCCAATATTGGAGAAATGTTTTTCTTTCTTTCCCATGAGATACAAAACCAAATTGAAAAAATAACAAATGCTTACCGATAATGTGCGTGACCTCCCCTAGAGTTACATCATGGCAAATTTGCACTCACCCACTGACATTTGCTATACTGCTTTTCACGAGTGATGTTATTTCCTCACCAGAGAAAGGGAGAAGTATAAAAAAGTTGCAGACATTGGTAATTGGAAATAGAAATGCTGGGTTCAGAAATTTAATCAAATGTCATCAACTTGAAATGTTAATTTTTAATCATTTCATACATGCTACCTGAGCTTTTCCAGTAATTTTAAATGTAACTCAGTGTTTAGTTTCCCCACTAGCTGAGAGATTTCAGTCGAGATCACTGACTATCAGCGAGTAGGGGTCACTGATACTGAACTGTGGATTATTTCCCCCTTCTCTTCTAATACCAGAAGCACCGAGAACTCAAAACAAATCACACGGATGGTGTACTACAACAAAACCATTGGCAAAGGAGTAGGCCATTCATCCCCTCTGGACTGTTCCACCATTCATAACATCATGCCTGTTCTGATTGTGGCCTGAACTTCATTCTCCTGTGTGTCCCCATAACCCTCAATTCCCTGTTAATCAAAGATCTGTCTAACTCCACCTTGAATATATTCAGCCACCCCCTGTCCCACAGCTTGCTGGGGAGAGAATAACAAAATCTAATAACTCTTAAAAGGGAAATCCCTGATTTGGAAACAGTGACTGTGGTTCTGGAGCCCCCAACAAGAACAAGCATCTTCTGAACATCCAGCCTGTCAAACCCCACTCAGGATCCTATATTCTTCCAAATCTCAGTACAGACCAAACCTCCTCAACATTTCCTCATCAGACAAACCCAGGAACTAGCCTGATGAGTTTCTCTGAACTACTTCTGAGGCAAGTATATCCTGCCTTAAGTAAGGTAAGGGAAGCCATTCAGCCCTTCTAGTTCATCCTTGCAGATGATCTCCCAGCGGATCATTAAACTGTCTCAGGAATGTTTCCTCAGCTTTGCTCAGTCTCATACTTGATTCAAAACTTTATGCAGGCTCTTGATTACTTTTTGATGCTTTCCAACAGTTCCCTTTGACCTATTTGTTGCCGCACATATTCACTTGAAATCATGCTCAGGATGAACCTTCTCTGCTGCACTTGAACCTGATGTGTTCCTCACTGTCACTTTCTTGAGAGTCCAGGTTTATGAACTCAGTTCATTCACATTAGGAATCAGCCTCCTGGCTCTTCTCTATGTATCATGTACCTTGTAGGTTCTGCATTCTTCCCTCACATATCTCCTACACTCTTGTAATGTTTTATGAATTATAATTCACTTCATTCATTCTATTTTTATTGCTTTAGGGACATATTTCTTTAATTGGAATGATCCTTGCTCCGTGTTTTTAGGGTGCTCCCTCAGTAGTATCTCCTCAAAGATATTCATTCCATTTGCCTTCAACTATTGTTTCTTATTTTTTGTTTCCTGACTGATTTATTTAAACTTCTGCCATTGGTTGAGGCTCCTCCTAAAATGGTGTGGCTGTTGAGTGATATTGTTGAAAACTGACTGACAGGGTTCAGCAATAGCCCTTAGCCTGCATCTTCCCACTGTGTCACTGGGAAACAACCACTTTTGATAGCACTCCATTCGGCCCATAGTGTCCATGCTAGCTCTCAATTTTGGAAATGAATCTAATCCACTTAATATCTATCTTTTGAACTCCCTCCCTGCACCGCTGCCTGAGATCCTTTGGAACACAGTATAATGCTAGAAATGATTAATTCTGTGCACAATGGATTAGCAGACAATAAGCTTGTTAAATGAAACAAAAAACTGTGGATGCTGAAGATCTGAACCCAAAACAGAAATTGCTGTGGAAACTCAGCAGGCTGGGCAGCGTCTGTGGACAGAGAAATATGGTTCAAGTCTAGCGACCCCAACACCCCCACACCAACCAGGTAGTTGCTAAACTTGACATGACAATACAGAGCTGCAAGATGCACAGAGCTCTGTGGTGTATCTACAGTTTGTCATCTTACCAACAATGGGAGCTGGTCAAGATATTAGTATCTCAGGTTCAGGCTGATCCCACTGTACCTTTTGTATCAATCTGGGAGCTTCTTCAAACTTTATCTGGTAAAGAGCTTCTTTCCCACCAACATAAACAGTGCTTCCCTCTCGGAGCGTGGTTGTATATTCCTCAGTTGAGGGAAACTGGAAACGATCTTGAATTTCCACTGTAAAGATAGAAAAGAGTGAGGATTTACTGACTACTGATCGACACAAAGAAAGGGAAAAGGACAAATTGTCATTGGAATGAAATAGTAACTATGGTGATTGGATCTCGAGAAGTGACTGAAACGGCCCAGTGTCCCACAACGAGGATGATGCCGTGTAAAGACAACATGTAAACCCAGAAAAACACAAGTCTTCTCTGTCTGAACGTGACATTATAATTTCTCCACTAGGATAATGAGTGATAGGTGAGCAATTATCTCCACCCAGGGCCAGCTCCCAAATGCAGACCACCACAAGAAGCTCTGATTATGGTACTTCCCAAAGGCAAGGGGATAGGCAGCATCAGTTTGTTGGGAGAATTGCACACAGTTACTTCACTTATTGAACAGCCCTCAGTATGAACTTTATGCAATCCTTCGAAAAAAAACCAAGTGATCAATATTCATTTTCCCTTAACCATGGTGAGTGACTATTAAGTTTATCCAAAGCCAATGTGAAATCATGCAATTCAATGTATCCCCTGCCTCTGAGCCAGGAGATTCAGGTTCTCATCTCACTGCAGGCACTCACTGGCCCAGCAAGTCATGTCTGGAGAGAGAATCGGCCATGGAATGGAAAGAAATTGGAGTCTCTACTATCCATCGCTCCAAGGTATAGTATACATGTCACAGAAGTGTTGGCTGCCATTAGCTGGACCACTGGGATGAATGAGATTGGTCCCAAAAGCACTGAGTTTAAACCCAGTTCTGGCTGAGCTGTATAAGGGACCTGGCCCAATGTGAGCTGAGCCCGGCCTCAGATGGGGAGCTGAAGAAGGGATTAAAATGTGTTGATATAGCTGAACATTGGAGGCCTTTGTGTTAAACAGAAAACAACATTGATTCATTGTTTAGTTATTTCCGGGAACCTGCATCTTTGAAGTGAAACTCCTCCATGCTGGACAAAACATCCTTCCAGCTCACAATCGCTGTTTCCCAAATGTATCAAGAGCAAGGGTTTTACTCCATCGACCCTTAGGTTCTTTCAAGAATGATTTCAAATTTATGTCCTTTGTTTCTTCAGGGCCAACTCTCCCTTGTTTACTCTTTGAAAATGCATCATAATTTTGAACATCTGATTTACATTTCCCCAGTATCTTTTTGCATTCAGTTCCACCATCACTGAGATCATGGCTGAAGTTCCCAATACCTGCCTTTGGCCGATATCCCTCAATACCCTTTGCTTAACAAAACATTATCTATCTCAGATTTAAAATTACTGACTGATCCTGCATCCACTGATTTTTGTGGAAAAGAGTCCCAACCCTCTCCTGCCCTTTGGTTGTAGAAATGCTTCCTAATTGCTTTTGCTTCCCTTGCCCTTCCAGGAGCAATTGGACGTAGGGGAAATGCGCCAAAGCAGCAAGAAGAATTTGTAGATGATAATTTAGGATTTTTGCAACAATTTGTACCAGCAATAGATACCAAAATAGCTCAGGATTGTGTCCTCTCTTTCTTACCATCAAACAATGATAATTCTATGATATTGCTACAATGGACAACAGACAGGCTGGTATTGATAAGTAGCAGGGAACATGTGGCACACAAATGCCAGGCAATGACTAGTTCTGACAAGAGATTATCTAACAGATCTTTGATATTCAAAGGCGTTACACCACTGAATCACCCACCATCAACATCCTTGAAATTAACACTAACCCAGGAACGGAACTGAACAAACTATATAAATACTGCAGCTGCAACAGCAGGTCAAAGGCTGGGAACCTTGCAACGATTCACTCACCTCCTGACTTCCGAAAGTCTGTCCACCATCTACAAGGCACAAGTCAGGACTGTAATGGAATACTCCCAACTTGCCCAGATAAGTGCAGCTCCAACAACACTCAAGAAGCTTGACACCATTCAGGATAAAGCAGTCTTCTTGATCAGAACCCAAACTATTCACTCCCTGCACTACTGATGCTCAGTAGTAGCAGTGTGTACCCATCTACAAGATTCACTACTCACCAAAGATCCTTAGACAGCACCTTCCAAACATGCGACCACTGCCGTATACAAGGGTAAGGGCAGCAGATACATGGCAACACCACCCCCTGAAAGTTCCCCTCTGAGCCACTCAACATCCTGACTTGGATATATATATATATCACTGTTCCCTCACTGTTGCTGGGTCAAAATACTGGAACTCCCTCCCTAACAACACCGCAGGAATTCCCGCATTGGATGGATTGCAATGGTTCAAGAAGGCAGCTCACCACCACCTTCTCACTGCAATTAAAAGTGGACATTAGACTATGGCACTTGCAGTGATGTCACATCCCAGGACCAGATTAAAAAAAAGTACAAAGCATCAGTGAATTTCATACTAATTAAACATAAATTTTTGGCCTCTCCTGCTTCAATGTTAAGTCCATGCATCTCCCTTGACGATATTGCACACTTTGGTATTAGTGGACCGGAAACTGCAGATGCTCCTGGTACAGACAGCAAGTTAATGAGTTGAAAGATCTGTGAACTGCTTAATAAAAATAAAACCAAAAGAAGGAAATTGTTTCATAGATTGGGTTAAAGATTCTTCAGCAGAACCTGCATGATCATCAACCATTCTAACTTGCTCCATAGTTACTGCATGACCCACTCCCTCCAGCTGTTTTCATTATGAATGCAGATGTTTAGAATTAACTGGGCTCTGATTTTGGTGGTGAAGCTGTTTTCAACTGCGATTTACAAACCACTCCACCCATAAGCTTCAAACCCTATTTACGCCATCATCTGTTTTTCTTCTATCCTATTTTCCTCCTTCTACATTTTGCCTTTTGCATTTTGTTCCACTGATGTATTTCTGGAACGTTGCACTGTCGTTCTGTTCCAGTGGTTTTAGATGTGGCCTGCTGTTTCCCTTTACAGTTGACCAACCAAGCCTTGGCACTGTCTATTTTTACATACAATTTAGAAGACAGAAAAATAAATTCTTCCTCTTATTGTTCATTCTTGGGACAGAGGTGTCGCTGGCTGGGCCAACATTTATTGCCAGCCCCTAGAATCATAGAGTCATACAGCACAGACAAAGGCCCTTCAGTCCAACCAGTCCATGCTGACCATAATCCCAAACTAAACTAGTCCCACCTGCCTGCGTTTGGCCCATATCCCCCAAACATTTCTTATTCATGAACTTATCTAAATCTCTTTTAAATTTTGTAACTGTACCCGCATCCACCACTTCCCCTAGAAGTTCATTCCACCCACCAACCACTCCCTGTGTAAAGAAGTTGCCCCTCAAGTCTTTTTTAAATGTTTCTCCTTTCACATTACAACTATGCCCCCTAGTCTTGAAATCCCCAACCCTAGGGAAAAGATTCCTGCCATTCATCTTATCTATACCGCTCATGATTTTATAAGTCTCTATAAGGTCACCCCTCAACCTCGTACGCTCCAGTGAGAAAAGTCCCAGCCTGCATTGAAAAGACGATGGTGAGCTGTCTCCTTGAACCACTGCAGTATGTGGACCCACTACGCTGTTAAGGAGGGAATTCCAGGATTTTGGCCCAGTAACACTGAAGGAATGGTGATATATTTCCATGTCAAGATGGTGAGTGGTTTGTAGGCAATTTGCAGGTGTGGTGCTTGCATGTATCTACTGCCCTTGACCTACTATATGGAAGTGGTCGTGGGTTTGGAAGGTGCTGTCTGAGGAGCTTTAGTGAGTTTCTGCAGATGGCACACATTGCTACGCTGTGCATCCATGATAGAGGGAATGGAAGTTTGTGGATGTGATGCCAATCAAGCGGCTGCTTTGTCCTGGATGGTGTCGAGCTTCTTGAGTGTTGTTGGGGCTGCACCCATCCAGGCAAGTGGGGAGTATTCCATCACACTCCTGACTTGTGCCTTGTAGATGGTGAACAGGCTTTTGAGTTACTCACCACAATATTCCTCGCCTCTGACCTGTTCTTGTAGCCACAGTATTTACATGGCCAGTCCAATTCAGTATCTGGTCAATGGTAACCCCAAGATGTTAGTAGTGAGGAATTCAGAGATGGTCATTGCCTGGTACTTGTACCGCACGAATGTTACTTGTCACTTGTCAGCCCAAGCCTGGATATTGTCCAGATCTTGTAGCATTTGCTCAGGGACTGCTTCAGTATCTGAGAAGTCGTGAATGATGCGGAACATTGTACAATCATCAGTGAACATCCCCACTTCTGACCTTATGATGGAGGGAACGTCATTGACGAAGCAGCTGAAGATGGTTGGGTAGAGGACACTACCCTGAAGACACCTGCAGAGATGTCCTGGAGCTGAGATGACTGACCTTCAACAAGACAACCATCTTCCTATGTGTCAGGTATGACTCCAATTAGTGGAGATTTTTCCTTCTAACGCCTGCTGATTCCAGTTTTGATCGGGCTCCTTGATGCCACACTCAGTCGAATGGGACCTTGTTCTCAAGGGCAATCACTCTCACCTCACCTCTGCCCATATTTGAACCAAGGCTGTAATGAAGTCAGGAGCTGAGTGGCCCTGGCAGAACCCAAACTAGACCACACTGAGCTGGGCAAGTGCTGTTTGATAACAGTAATAATAATTCCTTCCAATATTTTACTGATAATTGGCTGTAGATTGATGAAGCCGTGATTAACCTAATTGGATTTGTCCTGTTTCTTTGTTTACAGGTCATAGCTGGGCAATTTTCCACATTATTGGGTAGATGTCAGTGTTGTAACTGTACTGGAACAGCGTGGCTAGGGGAGCAGCAAGTTCTGGAGCACAAGTCTTCAGTACTATTGCCGGAATGTTGTCAGGGCCATAGGCTTCACAGCATCCAGTGCTGTCAGCCGCTTCTTGAATTCACGTGGAGTGAATTGAATTGGCTGAAGACTGAAGACTGTGTTACAATATGTAATACAATACGTTGGCATTCATTCTCTGTACGAACAATATGCAATATAATACATTGATGTTCATTCTCTGTGCGAACCACAACCCAGTTGATCCTTACTTCATTCCATTTGCTCATCCTCATATCCCTTTCCTTCTCATGTTTATTTAGCTTTCCTTTCAAGGCATCAATACCATTCACCTCAAGTGCTCCTACTGGGGAGTCATGTTGCGCAGCAGATAACATCACTATTAGAAGCTTCGGGTTTGTGTCCCACTCTGGGACTTGATAGACAAGGAAGGTGCATTGTATCGTGACCAAGATTAACAGCGTGTAAAGAATTTCTGGTGTGTCTACAGCAGGCAGTGACAGTGGGCTGGGTCTCCTAGTTTTCATGCTTCAAGTGGAGCACCACTCCTCAAATCACATGTTATAGCAGTTTATTCCAGGAAGAAAATAACAGATTATGGAAACACATTGCTTTGACTGCCAGCTACATCAACAAGATAGGGAAGATGATTACCAGTGCTACATCCTAACAGTTCTCTAGATAACTTTCTCTTGAATTTCCCATTGGATTTACTGGTGACTGTCTTATGTTCATAATCGCTCAATTTGATTTCCCCAGAGATGAAAATATTCTGTCAACATCTACCTTCCCAAATCTTATCTTTAAAAGCTTTATCATCTCTTGGCTGTCTCTCTTCCGAGAAAAGAGCACAAGGCTGTTGAGATTTTTCTGAAGTTTATAACCTCACAGAGTCAGCCTCCAGGCTCCTCACCTTCACCACCATCCATCACCATCCCCTCACCTTACAGCAACAAGTACAAAAGCTCACCAACAAGGGTGTTTTGGTGGCTCAGTGGTTAGCACTGCTGCCTCACAGCGGCAGGCACCCAGGTTTGATCCTAGCTGCGGGAGCCTGTCTATGTGGAGTTTGTACATTCTCCCCGTATCTGTGTGGGTTTCTTCCCACAGTCCGAAGATATGCAGGCTAAATTGCCCATAGTGTCCAGGGATGTGTTGGTTAGGGTGGATTAGCCGTGGGAAATGCAGGGTTATGAGGTTAGGATGGGTCTGGGTAGGATGACCTTTAGAGGGTCGGTGTGGACTCGATGAGTCAATTAGCCTGCTTCATGCCGTAGGGATTCTATGATAACACCTCCCACTCATATTCTCCATGCTAATTGCTGCAATTTCACTTCATTACTCGGCTAGATGCTTTTGGGAAAGTTGACTTACCTTGACTAACCTTTGCTGGTGCCTATATTTAAACCTCCTACTGCCTTGTGAGGAATGAATGAATAATCGCAACCCAATGTATTGTCATTACCACTAGTCATGGAACAGGCACCGTGACAGATGCTTTAATAATGCCATGAGATCACAGACTAACCCACACCTCACCAGTTATCACCCACCTAGATTGTGCAAACACCCTCACTGCTATTTGATCATTCTGCCTCCCGTAAAGGCATGCTCTCAACCTATTAAACTCCTAAAGACCTCCTTTGGGTTAGCTGCCAGCCTCTCTTTCTCCAAAACCAAACCTAAGCGCTGCCAGTGCTGCAAGTCAGAAACAAAATGAGAAATTGCTTTAAAAACTCTGCAGGTCTGTCACAATCTGTAAATAAGTTAAAGTTTAAGGTTTCACAGAAAAAAATGGTCACCGGACCTGAAACATTTTCATTTGCGTTCTCGACACACCTGTAGAGTTTCCGCAGCAATTTCTCTTTCTCCAAGAACCGTCTAACCTTTCCTGACGGTATAACCTGATAGCAACAAAAATCAGAAGTTGCTGGAAAAGCTCAGCAGCTCTGGCAGCATCTGTGAAGAAAAAAAAATCAGAACTAACGTTTCGGGTCCTGTGACCCTTCCTCAGAACTCTGAGCAGTTCCTAATTTACAGCATCCGCAGTACTTTTTAACCTGGTAACAAGATTCTGCTGTTATTTAAAATGACAAACTATGAACGCCAAGCCGATTATATTTATGTGGATGGCACGTTTTCTGTTGCGACGTGACAAAATGTCATGTCACATATAATAACAAATAGAGCGGTTTTACATAAACAAACTGGCAGGGCCGTATCACCTGATACCAATGACAGAGCCAGACACCATAAGGTGAGGGACTCACAACAAGAGAATGGTAGGGAGAAATGGATAGTATAAATAGATACAGATGCTAAATATTGTTGATAAATTAGACAAAGATTAAATGACATTTGATAGAACCATTAGCACACAGATCAGTATGGAGAGAGAACCAGGTGGAGAGAGATAAATAAAGGAATAGAAGAAATAAGAGTTAACGTTGCGGGTCCAGTGCTTTCTCTCCACAGATGCTGTCGGACCTGCTGAGTTTCTCCAGCATTTTTTGCCTTCTGATTTCCAGCATCTGCAGTTCTTCGTTATTGATATAAAAACAAAATGGTTTATTTGTCGGTCACAAGTTGATTCAGGAACAGCGCGTCCCCAAACACACACACACACACTCACACACACAGAGACACCCCCTCCCCATAGAGAGGGATTCAGGAGCCTTCACTTACCGCTCAGATCCAGTTTGAGTCGGGGTAAAGTGCTGGATGAGGCGCTGCTGAGGAGGAGCGAGAGGAAGAGGCCAAGCAGAGACATGGCTAGCTCCAGATTCTGTGTCAGTCCCTGACAGACTGAGCACCGTCCAGCTTCCCCACCCCCTTCCCCTTCAGAAGGAGCTGCAGTGTCCGCAATGAGAGTGTCGGGAAATGTGGGTGGGGACTGCTTCCAGCTGCAATAGTATAGAGATCAGCTTTACGCACACTGGTTAAATATCCAACACTATCAAGTACGAATATCTACTAAATGTGACTTTTCAGATATCATCGTGTGAAATGAGTATTTTTAAAATTCATCCATGGGAATTGGGCATGCCCGCTGAGCTAATATTTATTAGCCCCCACCTCCCCACTTTAGTTACCTGTCTGAAGAAGGGTCCCGGCCCCAAACGTCAACTTTCCTGCTGCTCCGATGCTGCCTGGCCTGATGCGCTCTTCCGGCTCTACACTGTGTTAATACCTGCTTCTGGAACTGCTGCATTTCATTTACTATAGAGACGCATACAAATGCTGCGAGGGAGTCAGTTCGACGATTTAGAGACAGAAGGAGGAATGATGTATTTCCAAGTCAGGATGTTGAGAGACTTGAAGGGGGAGCTCGCAGACGGTGGTATTCCCATTTATCTGCTTCCCTTGTCCTTCGACAATGTCGAGCTGATGGATTTGGAAGGTGCTGTCTGAGGAACCTTGGTGAATTTCTGCCGTTAAGCTTATAGATGGTACCCACTGCTTCTACTGAGCATTGGTGGTGGAGAGAATGAATATTTAGAGTGGCTGGTGGGGTGCTGATCAAGAAGACTGATTTGTCCTGGATGGCGTCAAACTTCTTGACTATTATTGAAGCTGCACCCATCCAGGCAAGTAGGGAGTATTCCATCACACTCCTGATTTGCCTTGCATGGGTTAGCATATATACGAAATTAGAATCATAATGTGTAATGCTATATGCTGAAGGTTTATAACTGTCCACTTGCAGCTAGAGACTAATTACTTGTAAGAAATAGCACTCTTGTTAAATAACAAAACAATGTCTGTGCTTTCTATCAACCAGGGTCTGAGGATCAGGTAAATTGGGAAAATTATTGCATACTTCTGAAAATCTTTAACATTTTGGTGAGCATGGGAAGTAGCAGGACTTGATTTCCAGGGCATTTCCAGATTTATTCATTGGATTTTTAATTCAACCTACTGCTGTCAGGGGAATTTGAATTTGTGTCCCCAGATCATTAGGCTGTGACTTCTAGATTGCTGTTTTAGTGATATTATCACATTCTTACCAGTTTGCAAACTGCCCCCCCCCCATATCTGCATATATTTAAAGCAGAAGTTGCTTTCACACAACTCAAAAAGGGATCTGAAATAAAATGTAACGCCAAAGGAGAAGCAGAAAATAGTAATATCTGGACAGCATGGATGAGTTGGACAGAAGGGTCTGTTTTCATGCAATATATCGCTATGACTGTATGAGTATCCACACTGTAAAAGAAAAAGCACACAATGACTGTTTCTGTTTTTCCCAGATCAGAAATGAATGGGGGAGCAATGACTATCTTATTCATGATCAGTGAACAAAACTGTCAGTTGTATCCCATGCGACATCCTTCTCACTAACCAGTTATTGATTCCACTGCTCATGGTAACATTGGGACAATGTGAAGACAGTGAATGCATGGCCCATCATGCAGTGTGGTACTGCCCACAGATGGGCAAAGATCAGACTTAGCGGCCCAGAATTTGTGAGAGCCATCTGCCGGAAAAAGAAACCTGCAATCACTGAGTCTGACACTACCCTCACTCTGTCATCACTCTCAGGCTAGGAGAGTAACTGTGGCTAAATGTGCAGTGCAGTGGCTGGTAAACTGGAGAATAATGTGCCTCCGTGCTAAGTACCCACAACAGGTTAATGATGGAGCTGAGTATTCATCATGTCAATGGATGAGAACAAGTTTCTCTAATCCTACTACATCCAATCAAGCAATTAACATTAGGAGAAGGTTCTGTGAATATTCCCATCCTTAACTTTGGTGGAGCCAAGAATTTGACTGCAACAATTGTGGCTTAATTCATGTTCTCATGAATCTTAGTCAAAGACATTGAGGCTGTGCTGTTGTAGTATTGTCACTCAATCAGCAATATAGAACCCCAGCCTAATGTTCTGGGAACAAAAAACAGAAATTGCTTGACAAGCTCAGCAGGTCTGGCAGTATCTGTGGAGAGAGGTCAGAGTTAGCATTTGAGGTCACTGAAGTTTCACTAAAAGATTGTCTGGACCCGAAATGTTAACTCTGACTTCTCTCCACAGATGCTGACAGACCTGCTCTGCTTGTCCAGCAATATCTTCTTTTGTTTCTGATTTACAGCATTGACATTTCTTTTGGTTTCTATTTAATGTTCCAGGAACATGGGTTCAAATTTCACCATTAGATGGCGAAATTTGAATCCATTATGGGAAAAATACTCATCTAATGCTAACCATGAAACCGTTGTCAATTTTCTTAAAGGAAAACCACCCAGCTCACTAATGTCATCTAGGAAAGGAAATCTATTATCTTTGCCTGGTCTGGCCTACATGTGATTCCAAAATCCATAGCAAGGCCTTCTCAAAATTGTGTGACAGTCAGGTGTAGACCCCTGTTGGGACTGTTTGCACAGCTGAGAGAATGCTTTGTAATGTGCAGTTAGTTGGGAAGGGATGCCCAGCTGATCTCTCCAATTTCTGAAAAGAAACCTAAAAACCAAATAAATAGAATAAAATATTTCTAAAAGGAAAACCCTATTATTGAATTCATGGTTAAACCCATTTGCTCATCTGGGAGAGCGACAGAAGGAACTTCTCAACAATATCACTACCAAGACTCCAGAGAACATTATACATAATTACTGACATGACCAAATGCCAGAACATCAGCACAGCAGACTGAGGAACATTCTGTGCCTTATCCTTTCTTACCTTACCTAAATGGGCTAAAAACGTTTTGTTTTTGAAGTAAACCACGTCAGAGAGAAATCTGTTTCTTTTCTCTTTTGCTGTTGTGTGTTTCTTTGTTTTAAGGTATTTAGAGGCATTTATACTCTAATTTCACTGACTGTGTAAACCAGGTATTGCATCTTCGTTGAATACATTTTGAACTAATAATAAGCCACTAATTGCACATATAAAAGAAATGCAGCTGGTAGATCTATGTAAAACTTGTTGTAGACAAAGTATTGGCCAGTTTGTGAAAACTATCTTTATTTTAATGTAGTGACCTGTGGATGAGTGGAGCTAGAACAACACTGCATTTCTCAAGGCTCAATCATAACTGAAGGCAAATGGAATGTTATCCTTTATTGCAGGGAGAATGCAACAGAAAAGTAGGGATGTTTGATGCTGGAACAGTGAGGCGTACAGCTTCAAGGTAGAACATGACAGAATGTGGTCCCACGTTGACCTCACAAAACCGTAAAGAATGCGAGTAAGTTTAGCAGAGTAGTCCTCCAGTAGCTGGGGGCCATTGCTGATGCAAAAAGAAAAACAATTCTGTCTGTCAAGGGTCAATAACCATGGACCCAGCATATCACTGTGGAAGTTCCTTGGCAACGAAGCAGCAGTGTTCCGAAAGCTTGTGATTTCAAATAAACCTGGTGGTGGTCACAGGAAGAGGTGGGTGGGACATTAGTGTGGCAGTGCACTCCTTTCGATGTTTTCACCTGTTTGCACTGTAGGCATTGTCTGATTCTATACAGTCTCGGCATTGTTGAGCATAGACTTTATTTTCTGAAGTAGGTTTTCAAAGACAATTAAAGTAAACAAAAACAAAACAGACCACAATAAGTATACAATGAAGAAGATTTGAAAAATATTCACTCTTTATCAGTTGGTGCTGTGTTCAGGTCTAAACTGTTTGTTTAGACTGTGTAAAGCCAGATATTCCCGTAAACAGACTAAAGCCATAATCCGCAGCTTGGCTGTGGATGACAGGCCATATCATTAGCATTTCCTAAGAGGTCAGAGAGCTCAACATAATATGATTAAGCTACAGAAATAGCAACTTTATTAAGCTAATGGAAACTTGCAAATCTTACCAAAATGGTTCAATTACAATTATTTAACATCACAAACCATCCTGATATTGGACATGCGTCACTATTTCTGCATTGCCATTGAATCAATCTCTTGATATAAAGTGCTGGCCTGGACCTGGGGTTGCAAGGTGCCATTTCCAAATTTGCAGCTGATGTGCACTTGAGCTGTGAGGAGGATAGTGATAGAATTCGAGTGGGCACAGCCAGACAGGTGGAATGGGCAGACAGTAGCAGAATCAACATAATGCAGGTGAAGTATATAGTGATTCAGTGTGGTCAGAAGAATAAGGAAAGGTAAAACAAAGATAGTAGGAACTGCAGATGCTGGAGAATCTGAGATAACAAGGTGTAGAGCTGGATGAACACAACAGGCCAAGCAGCATCATTTTTCTGAATTTTTTGAAGAAGGGTCCAGACCCGAAACATCAGCTTTCCTGCTC